CCTCCTATTTTCCCCACAACAACAACCCTGTGAGGTGGGTTGGGCTGAGAGAGAGGGACTGTCCCAAGGTCACCCAGCCGGCTTTCATGCCTAAAGTGGGACTAGAACTCACCGTCTCCTGCTTTCTAGCCTGGAGCCTTCACCACTAGACCAGACTGGCTCTCTAAACACAAAGGAAGTTTAAACAGAAAGCTGGGGTATTAAATTCCATAAATAAGTAAAAGGCTGCCCCCCCCACCCCCATGTGTACTTCATTGGATTACATGCCTGTTATTGGAATGTGACATTTATATAAAGCAACAACAATACTTATAGTAATCTATTAATTTATATGTTGCCTGACTAGGCAGTTTACAGATTGTTAAAAACATTAAAGAACAAAACAAAAGCGATCTAAGATGGCAGAGATGGCAAACCCAGGTGGGAACAAAGAAGAAGAAGAAAAGGGTGCCTCAGTCACACTCACTAACGGCCTTACATGTTTTTCCTTTTCTCTTTTTCCTTTTCCTTTTGTAATAGTGAAATAGATGGAACGTTTTCTTCTGCTGGCTGCCTAAATGGAAGCTTTTTAGCTGTCAGGTCAGTGGATAATAAATACATAGTTGAATGAAATCCTTAACATTTGTTTATTTAAAATATAAAAAATAAGTACAAAGCGAGATTTTTCTTCTTTCTGTAGCAATGACGATCACTACAGAACGAGTGCCAGATTCTCAGGGGTGGATATGAATGCTGCCAGACTTTTATTTCACAAACTTATTCAGCCGGAACATGCACATATATCTCAGCAGGTTGGCCTTAAAAATCTTTTTAAGTTCATTTTTGATTCCACTGTGACATAAGTGCTACTCTGTGTTAAGATCTACGCTACATTCTTTTTGTTGTGCATGGGGAAATTTAAATTGCAAATGTAATACATTTTAATTTAATATTTATTTCCTAAATTGTCAAAATGTGTGATGAAAACAGATTTTTATTAGTACAGTGGAACCTCGGTTTACGAACTTAATTCGTTCTGTGACTCTGGTCGCACCCCGAATTGGTCGCAACCCAAAGGAAATTTCCTCATAAGGTTCAATGTAATTACTGTTAATCCGTTCTGGTGTGAAGGACAGGGAGGTGGCTATTGCTTGGAGGGAGAGTCCCCCTCCCTACGACCACGTGTCAGGGGCGGAAAATGGCCGCGGACCACGTGTCAGGGGTGGAAAAATGGCCGTGGACCACGTGTCAGGGGCGGAAAATGGCCGCGGACCACGTGTCAGGGGTGGAAAAATGGCCGTGGACCACGTGTCAGGGGCGGAAAATGGCCGCGGACCACGTGTCAGGGGTGGAAAAATGGCCGTGGACCACGTGTCAGGGGCGGAAAATGGCCGCGGACCACGTGTCAGGGGTGGAAAAATGGCCGTGGACCACGTGTCAGGGGCGGAAAATGGCCGCGGACCACGTGTCAGGGGTGGAAAAATGGCCGTGGACCACGTGTCAGGGGCGGAAAATGGCTGCGGACCACGTGTCGGGCAGAAAAATGGCTGCGGACCGTGTCACGGGAGGGAAAATGGCGTATCCTGTTCGTACCCCGAGGCGGAGTTCACAAACCGAGGTAAATTTTTGCGGCTGGAGCTGGTCAAAACCCGAAAAGTTCGTTAACAGAGGTGTTCGTAACCCGAGGTACCACGGTATTTAGAATTTCATTAAGGTGGGTTGCACAGAAACATTGAACAATAAATAATGTAGTAGAAATCTGTTTATACTTTTGATTCAAGCTTGTGTAACAAACTATGGTCTCCGGCCAAAATAACTCCATAAAAGTAGTTTGAATTTGGCTAATGAATCTCAGTTTCCTTTAACTGGTTTAATCTTAGTCTGTTACTGGGCTGCCTGGATATACTGATACGAGGAGGAATGTTAGACAGTGAAATAATTCATGTAATTAAGAAATCGTTGTTAGTGTTTTCACAGATCTTTTTGTTTCATCTTATTTCCCACCCCCACCCTCATCCTTTCCATTCTGGCTGTTTATCCCTGCAACAACCTTGTGAAGGCCTACACGCACATACGTAGACAGAGGCATACATTCCTGTATTCCCTTTCAGGATCAGCAGTGTTAGGCAAAGTGCAAAAAAGGAGTAAGAAATCATGAACCAAAGAAAGTAAGACATGACATTAAAAAAAACCCAAAAACTATTACTAGTTTACATCAACAGCATTAACTGCTGACATACCCGATTCTCACTTTCCTGTAACAGAATGAGCAGAAGCAGACTCATAGCCATTTTACTTCTTTTGACAAGCACGCCTTCCTCATAGCATGCCACATGGTAACTGCTACATTTTATCGGCATTTGCACATTTTAAAATTTCTCCACCCGTTTCCACATTTTTGGAAACATTCTACCAAGCTATACAAATTCATCTACTTACCATGTTTTTACTGATGTATAATTTAAAATTGTTCACTCCATTTTTCTCTGTCAAACACAACTTCCTTGGTTTTTTATGCATTAATTTTCAGATCCATGCTGCTCATTGCATCGTATAGTCTATCATTCATTGTAAATCATTCAGATTCTCAGCTAAGTGCACGGCATCATCTGCCTAAAAAGCACAGCTTCTTCATGTCCCCAACCAACACACCTCTAACATCCCCACAAGCATTTCTTACATATATTTGTCCATAAATATACAGCCGAAGGGATGTTGCGCATCTTATAACTCCCTCTCAGTCTTGAGGGCTCACTGAAAAAGCTCTGTGCCAAAACCCAAGCTCCCTCCCACAGCTGGCAATGCCTGGGATTGCAACTTCCTGCTGGCTTCCCACTGACTTGATTGTGGGAAGCCGGCAGGAAGTTGCCTTGCCTAACAACCGGGGCGTTCACTTAACGACGGCAACCAGGACAGCATAGCGACAGAAGTTCCAGTCCCAATTGTGGTTGTTAGGTGAGGACTACCCTGTATATTAAGCAAGTCACTCAGCCTCTCCATAAGCAAAGGGCATACATAGTTTAATGTTTCTCCATCATGTTTTTGGTCAGTTCAGACTTTCACAGGATACAGAAGGAAAGAGTTGAGTAAATTATTAGTCTTACTTGTATCTGTGCCACATGCAGCATTCACTGATAATGGTTTAGATCAGTGTTTTGCAAACTTGGCCACTTTAAGATGTGTGGACTTCAACTGCCAGAATTCCCTACCAGTATAGATTGTTCTGGTCAGTTTGGACAAATTTTGCCAGCATGCTAGAAGTGTTAGTTTTTCATCTATGCAAGGTGGGTTCTCTTATCTATGTAATCTAGAGACTGCCTGTGCTGTTGCCTGCATTCCTCCAACTTGTATGATTTTTTGCATTTATATTAAGAATTTTTACATAGAATGAAAGACTAATCAAAAGAAAAAAATAAGGAAAGAGAAAGGAATGAAAAAGAAAAAAAAGCTAAAGTTTAGAAATACACGAATGACTTCTGACCTTCTTTTCACATTCATTGTGTACCATTGACTACAGGCATTTTGGTTCATATCTAAAGAAGCATATGTGTTAAAAGCAAGCAACAAATTTCCTTTTAGTAAACTAAAGTAGTTCCAAAGTTGGAATTACACTGTTTGACCAAAGATTAGAAGTTTCCTGAGCCATCTCCCATTTCCCTTTTTTCCATTTCTTTTGCAGCAATCTCCCTTATTCTTTTCAGCCTAATAAGGTCTCAAATAAAGGTTAAGATTATTCTTAGATTTCTTTAAAAAGAAATCACTATAGAATGGCCTGTGGCTTCAAAAGACTGGAGGAATGGTTTGACAGAGGGACCCTTTAGAATTCTGTTTCTTTGTGCTGAGCACTGTAGGGGATTTCAGAAGTGAGCGAGTTGTATTCTCTGTCCCATTTTGAAGCCTTATTTCCTATTAATGCCTGCAAGGTCCATGGGGATAACAGTAAGGAATTTGGAAAGCAGGTGGGTGGATGGACAACAAACGAATACAAGGTGAAGCAAACTACAATTTTCTTCAACAAAATATGGTTAAAACAAATTTGGTATTAATAATATATTCAAATGTAGCAAATAAATATATTTTTAGTAGCAGGGGTGTCCACAGGATGTGGTCAAAAAAGTCAAGAGGGTGGCCACAACAGGGCAGCATATAAAACCAGGCAGAGTTTGACTGTACCAGCAAGGCTGCCATTTTGCTTTTTTTGACCGTAACCTGAGGAGACCCCTGTTTAGTAGCGTTCGTTATACTCTGGAACAGAAATAAATGGCCATCGTTCTACCAGCTTTATTTAAAAATACTTAACTTTGCTTTTAAAAATAAGTTTTATGTTCAGCTGTGTTTTTAATTGCAAGAGGTGTGGTATGCCCTTCTTTGTATGATCCTTATTGATTTATTCCCCTAGAGCATGCTTTTAATTTAAAACTAGATTCCGTCTTGCACAACATCCCCAGGTGGCAGCCAGCTTGGAGAAGAATCTTATTCCTAAACTGACCAGCTCCTTGCCTGATGTGGAAGCCCTAAGGCTGTTTCTAACACTGCCAGAATGCCCCTTAATGAACGAGGCAAACAATTACATGACTTTGGCTATTCCATTTGCAACTGCTATTGTGAACCTAGAAAAAGCTCCGTTGAAAGTACTCGGTAAGGTTGGTTTTGTTTAACGTCAATTATGAATGCATAGATGTTAATCTGCGGCAAAGAATGAGTACGTTGCAAAACGCAAGTAGGTGTGTATGTTCCTTCTGGTTTTTTTGTTTGTTTGTTTTTTCTTACATTACTGAAGAGAAGTATTATTGTAAGCTTACCTTCACATGTATTATATATATAAATGGCAAAGTTGTTGTTATTGGTTGTAAAACTATATGTAAAATAAAACTTACTTTTGGATTTCCCATATGAAGAGCTAGACCATATTGTTGCTGATGAAGGATACAAGTTAAGAACTAGATGGATTCAGCACAATGCACATTGATGCATTCTATCTATCAGTGACAGTTTATACCCCCTCAACCACTATGGTATCCTTCTTGTCCATTAGAGGACTTTAAGCACTCTTTTACATTGGCACTAGTTTGTTTGGTTGAGCACTCTCAAGAGTTGATGCAGGGGGATTTTGCAAGTTCCCTTAGTTATTAGCTGTGGTGTTCCTCAGGATCAGTTTTATCCCATTTATTTTTAAGACGGTGCTGACAATGTCTGTTTAATCAACTGGGCTAAGATAGTCCTGAACATATGTTTAGACATAATGATTGATGGCATGTAGGCTAACAACTTACTAGATAAGATAGAGTTGTAGGAATCTAATCAAGCTAATCTGGCAGTGGCAACTTGTGAGACTGTGTTTTGACCAAAGGATCAAGGTCACATTTTGAGGGTGCTTCCAAGGTTTATTGTTGCTTTTGGAGGATCAGGTCTCTTCTGCCACCAATACTGCCTTTGACTAGCCCCTGGTGCACAGCAATTCATGAGTTAATTATATTCTTCATATGATAATCAGTTTTGTTTATAGAGTGTCCCTTCTCATAAAGGAGATCAGAGGGTATTAAAAATATCATCAAACTACAAATCAAAACAACAGTGCAGCATCAATTCAGAGAACATTTTGGTCCAGATGTGTTTTTGATTGTTGTCTAAAACTGAATAGTGTGGACCAAGTGTACTTTTCTTCTAGAAAGAATTCCACAAGTGGGGTATCATGATATTTTACCTGTTATTTTAGGGATTCTAAATGTTATTTCTGCTCATTGTTTTTAAAGATGGATTTTCTCCTGATTTGATTTGTTTAGTGTGTTTGCTTGCTTGATATTTTAGTATATTTTACTTCCTATGTCACCTTAGAAGTTTTTTTATGATCTGGAAGCAACTAAAGAGTTTTTTAATTAAAACATATAATATAGTAAATGATGTTCTGTTTGATGTAGGGTTAAACAGTAGATGAAGTGAAGTTATGGAGAATGCTAGACAAAAACAAATCCAGTAAGTTGCAGAATGTTTCAGTCTGGTAGTGTAACTGCCATCTTTTTTGTCTGTAGAAAACTGGTGGTCTGTATTGGAACCTCCGTTGTTCCTCAAAATAGTGGAACTTTACAAAGATGTTGTGGTCCATCTTCTGAAATTGTACAAGTTGGGTATCCCTGCTTCAGAGCAAAGAATCTTTGCAAGCTGTCTACATGCTTCCCTCAAAGTTTTGGAAATATTACATAGGGTATGTCTTGGAAATCTGTATTCTTATTTGTAAATTGAGATTGATTCAATTTATATCTGTCTTGTCTTCACTGTAGCTGGTACTAATATTAATTTACAGATCTAAGTTCTTTTACAGTGCCTTCTTATTTTGTAGACAGTTGGAATTGGTTTGGCAACTGTGTAGTTGTCACTGGAGGGAACATTTTCTTATCTTCTAATGGAGAGAAATGCTTTGATTTAATAAAACATCCGAATTGGAAATCTAAGCAAATGAGCTAATAGCAATTTTACAAGTTCAGTAGAAATTAATATTTAAGCCAGTTAATTTTTCAAGAAAACTATTTTGCTACAGTATGTCAAGCCAAAGCTGAAGTGGTGAGGCTACAGTTTTGAACACGCTTGCAGACATTCAACTTTGATACCAATTCAATTTATGTAAATAGCTACTAAGTTAATTCCACTTTTTAAAGCCACTGCATTATATTGGCAAGTATCAAGATATATTTGGGGTACATTTTGATCAAAATGCATATTTATGTCTTAACTATTATGTCTTAATTTCTTCAACATAACTTCTATAATACACACACACACACACACAACACAGTACAACACACAAGTACTACTAGAAAAATTCAAACAGAATTTTATCACAATTGCATTCTGTAACCAGTTTCTGTGATTTAACAAGGATCTTTGTATCCCATAATTACAACACAAATTTAAAAACCCTTATTGTATCTATTAAGAAGAATCCATCTTTTTTTTCATTTCCTTTTTAATACTGTTGTTTCAATACATCTCCAAAATTCTATTAAGAATGAATGGCAGAAGTTTTCAGTTATTGAGATAGATATAAGGAAGTGGTTCAAAATACTGTACAACAATCATTATTATGCTCTGTTTCTAGTCATAATAAAGTTCTAAACTTTATTGTGATATTTTGGTATATCTGCATATAGAAAATTAAAAACACGATTAGATTCTTGTTCTCACCAGCTGCTCAATCGTTTTATGAGTCAGAGGTGGTCTAACGTTGTTATGGCATGGAAAAGGGACATTGTTCATATATGAAAATGGGTATTTTGTAGCTTATCTATTATTTATAAAGATAGACAACATTTCATCTGGAAACATACATTTCAGTTTGTTAGAAATGAAATGAGAAATAGTTTTCGTGACAGGTTCCCTTGCGGTTTTTTAAACTTAGGTGAACGAAAGAGGTGGGCAGATAATACAGTATGATAAATTCTACATACATGAAATACAGGATTTGATTGATATAAGAAATGACTACTTCAACTGGATGCAGCAGCAGGCATATGGAATGGTAAATGTCTTAATTTTTGCTCCCACTGTATTTTTAAAATATGCTGCATGACAATGGATTGTTGCAATTCTTGGTTTCTGTCACTTCCAACTGTTAGTGAGTGCACTGCATGATTTTGCTCATACAAAATTATGCATTGGTGAGAAATGTGTGTCTTTGGGTTATTTGAGCTCCTGCATTGGAGAAGATAATAGCCAGTTAAATAAATTAAATTTTTTTTTAATTCTGGCTTAAAAAAGGTAAAGATGTGCTCGAGTCAAGCTGTAATTAGGAAATCAGCAGCAGCAGCACAAAAAGAGGTTGCATTCTTCTAGGATGTTTTGCTTATGAATCTCTGCTCTCCTGGGATTCCATGAAGGCCTCCCATTTAATTACTAGCCAAATACTGATTTTGTTGACACTGACCTTTCTGAACTAGGGGAAAGGAGCGCTCTTCTTCTGAATTCCAGAAGAGAGTCTCCTGCAAGTAGGAAAATTGTAAAGAACATCCCCCTTTCTACCTGGGATGGGGAAGCCGAAAACGCCATGTAGCTTTTTAAGAGAGCGGCTGCCATAAACCTGTTCCTCGTGTCAGACTAATAAAACAAATTTTGTTGAGGCACTTCCTTATCTTCTCCACATTTTATATCAAACTTTGTTTTCTGTATAAAGAAAATCCATCTTGGATTTTCCAAGAAAAGTTTCCATTAGAAACTTGACAGACATGCATACTGTATTTAAAAAAATCATGTAAGGTACAAATAGAATATGAAAGTACTTTTCATACTACTTATAATCTGGAAAAAAGTGATATATTTGTGTTGGAAATGTGATAGATTTCCTGGATTGTGAGTGTCTCTTGCTCAGAAATGTTTATCTCAAGTTTCTGGTGTGTTTCTTGTTTGTGCTGTCAAGCACTAATTGAGATAATACCCAAGGTCAGAACATGGTCTCTTAGCTTATACTGAAAGTTGTACTAAATCTGAGCTTTAAAGCTAAATATTTTGAAACTGCAAAACTTTGCATCACTAAATGACTTTAATCAAAACGCTAAGACCTTTTCAAGAAACTTTTCTGCCCTCAGATCTCTTCATGATTTACTCAGATAAGTTGCATTGGTAGGGTATCCTTATTTGACTTCACGTTGTTGTAGTGAGGTATGACATCTGTTGTTTCTCCACTTCTCCGGTTCAGCAACAACAGGCTCTGAAATCACGGCTGCCATCCCACTATGTACGGATTGTATTTTTAGATCAGAAATCTCTCTTTCCCTGTTCCTGTATCTCAAGTCTGAAATATTTTTGAAATTGCTTTGGAGAATAGCTGAAAAGCAATTTAGGATACATAGGGTAGAAATATTGATGGAGAAACCTGTTTCTGCTGTTAATAACTCAAGGAATGGAAAGCTGTGTTCATTTTTTCCCATTAAGAGTAATTTGGTATTACTTTACCGAAGCCTTTAAGGATGATTGGACAAAATATTGGGAATAAATGTACTAAGTGGCTGATATCTTAAAGCTGGAGAGCCCTATCTTTCAGCAGCAAACTGACTCATTTGTTAACCTTGTTAGTACTTGCCTTTCTGTTTCTGCCTCATCCTTTCATGTAACAATTTTGTGCGTGCTCAGCAAAGTTCAGAAGTGAAGACGCTAGAGTTTTATTATTAAGAGCCTGCAGTAGCCAAGAACCATAAATGGGGCATAAGAAACCCAAGAAAGGTCAAAGGACACTCCAGCATGGCACTGGCATTCAGTGCACAGAACTTGTCTAGAGGCAATGATAGCCTTGGGAGGTGGTATTGTTCTGTTCTAGCGCTGTTCTGGGGGGCCTGACATGGAGGTGATAGGCCTATCTTAGTTTTGCCTCTTTGGCTCAGCACTGTAAGAAGGTGGAAATGTACATGCTAACCGTGCCTTTTCCTCTTAATTACTGCTGCCTTTTGTGCATTGTTATGAGTAGGATATCAGCCATGGATTAAATGAGGTAAGCAATTATTTGATTTCCAGTTTAGAAACCAGACACAACAAAGTTAATTTCTTGGGTTTGCTCGTAGACCTCGAGATTACCCTGATAATATGTCACTTGAAAAATATTGCCAGATCTGGATGAGCTGAGCTACCAAAGAAAAAATGGCATATAGATTATTTATTTATTTATCGATTTTGTCACCGTCCATCTCGTTAAATGACTCTGGGTGGTTTACAGAACAATTAAAATTACAAAATTACAGTAATAAATAAAAATTAAAAATATAATTA